TGACAGCAGAGAAACACGGCATATGATGAATCGGGTCTGCGGACCAATACAAATGCAATTCATTTTTTTTAGTAATGCCCATGTTGAGGGTTAGGCGCAAAAACACCTTAAATTCGGAAACCATAATAGGTTTCCATGCAAATAGTCTGGCAAGGTTTGAATTTGGGTTGGTGATGATAAACTGTTGTGCATGTAAATTGCTTTGATCCACAATCAATGCATACAGATCTTCTGTGAAAAACAGCTCCAAAAATCAAGGGGAGGAGTTAAATTTGCTGTTTCCACCTGAATTCCAGGTTGGGCACTGAATGGGGGAAGTACGGGTGCTGCGGAATTTATGGGCTGCCAATTTGGATTTGCAAGCACATTATGAAAGGATACTAGGGGCTCTACAGGCCTGTGTGCGAATTCTTGGTGGCTGAGGGACAATACTTGTGGTTGCTGGACAATACTTGTGCTCTCCACCACACCAGCTTGTACTGCACTTCTGGGGTGTCACCACATCACTAAGTGTGATACTGCAGTGATGGGTCTATGTGAAAGACCAGGATGTACTAGGCTGCTGGTGCTCACCAGTTCACCAAAAGGTAGCGTGGCACTGGTACTGGCACTTTGCTGCATTATATGAGAGTCATCAAAATTTACCGGCAAGTGCTAACGGAGATCAGGCCTGATTCTCCCAACACTGCGGTTTTGTGTGCAATGTATCAAGTGACAGTGACCTACTGACACTGCATGTCAGGGCTCCAGGGTGTGACCAGAGGTATGTGACTGACGCAGGGAAACGCAGGCTTCAGATATGTTATAAACAATAAAAGACAATTTATTAAAGACTAACAATACAAATAGAGATGAGCGAATCGAACCAGGCAAAGTGGAATTCGTTTCGAATTTCAGGAAAAATTTGATTCGTGCCGAATCCGAATATTAGCCAACTTCGGATGCACCGAATCGGATTTTTCCCGATCAGCGGCAAAAAGTGTCCCTGCAGAGAGCTCCGCTATTTCTGACAGTTCTCTGACAGTTCCTTCACATGTACAGCGGTTGAAAACATTGTATCTATTTGTTTCCATTTAGGATACAGATGTTTTTATTCGGAAACAGATACAATGTTTTAAACCGCTGTAAATGTGAAGGAAACTGTCAGAGAACTGTCAGAAATAGCGGAGCTCTCTGCAGGGACACTTTTTGCTGTACTGGAATACTTCTTTTCATTCTTCTTTTCATTCTTCTCAGTCTTCTTTTCATTCTTCTTCTTCTTCTTTTCATTCTTCTTCTTTTCATTCTTCTTTTTATTCTTCTTCTTCTTTTTTCATTCTTCTTTCATTTCTTCTTCTTCTTTTCATTCTTCTCATTTCTTCTTTTCATTCTTCTTCTTCTTTTCATTCTTCTTCTTCTTTTCATTCTCTTTTCATTCTTCTTCTTCTTTTCATTCTTCTTCTTCTTTTCATTCTTCTTCTTTTCATTCTTCTTCTTCTTCTTTTCATTCTTCTCATTCTTCTTTTCATTCTTCTTCTTTTCATTCTTCTTCTTCTTTTCATTCTTCTTCCTTCTTTTCATTCTTCTTCTTCTTCTTTTCATTCTTCTCATTCTTCTTCTCATTCTTCTTCTTCTTTTCATTCTTCTCATTCTTCTTTTCATTCTTCTTCTTCTTCTTTTCATTCTTCTTCTTCTTCTTTTCATTCTTCTTCTTCTTTCATTCTTCTTTTTCATTCTTCTTCTTCTTCTTCTTTTCATTCTTCTTTTCATTCTTCTTCTTTTCATTGTTCTTCTTCTTTTTCATTCTTCTTCTTCTTCTTTTCATTCTTCTTTTCATTCTTCTTCTTCTTCTTTTCTTCTTCTTCTTCTGGCAACTCCACCACGCAGCTCATTTTTGTTCCAGTATTACTGTATTTTGCTTCTTCAAAATCCTGAAACTTTCTTTTGGCAGGTGTGTACAGACTCAGGTACTCAGTGCAGGAATGGTGGGAATCCCTCACAATGGACACAGCAGGTGTACATACAGACCCAGGAATTCAACACAGGGACAGTGGGAACCCCTAATAATGGGTAAAGCAGTGTGGGCAGACCCGGAATCTCAGCACATGGATGGTAGGAACCCCTCATAATGGGCACAGCAGGTGTGCATACCCAGAACCTCAGCACAGGGATGGTGGGAACCCCTAGTAATGGGCGCAGCAGGTGTGCAGACCTGGGACCTCAGCACAGGGATGGTAGAAACCCGTCATAATGGGAACAGCAGGTGTACAGACCCAGGAATTTAGCACAGGGATGGTGGGAACTCCTCCTAATGGGCAGAGCAGGTGTACAGACCCAGGAACTCAGCACAGGGATGGTGGGAACTTCTCATAATGGGCGCAGCAGGTGTGTGCAGACCTGGAACCTCAGCACAGGGATGGTGGGAACCCCTCATAATGGGCACAGCAGGTGTTAGGGGGGTTTAACTCTCCATTCTTTAACTTTTAACTTTTCATTCTTCTTTTCATTCTTTCTCTTCTTTTCATTCTTCTTCTTTTCATTCTTCTCATTCTTCTTCTCATTCTTCTTTTCATTCTTCTTCTTCTTTTCATTCTTCTTTTCATTCTTCTTCTTCTTTTCATTCTTCTTTTTCATTCTTCTTTTCATTCTTCTTCTTCTTTTCATTCTTCTTACTATTCTTCTTTTCATTCTTATTTTCATTCTTCTTTTCATTCTTCTTCTTCTTCTTTTCATTCTTCTCATTCTTCTTTTCATTCTTCTCATTCTTCTTCTCATTCTTCTTTTTCATTCTTCTTCTTCTTTTCATTCTTCTTTTCATTCTTCTCATTCTTCTTTTCATTCTTTTCTTCTTCTTTTCATTCTTCTTTTCATTCTTCTCTTATTTTCATTCTTCTTTTCATTCTTCTTCTTTTCATTCTTCTTCTTCGTCGTGCCCCGGACTGCCCAAAATGAGTGAGGTGTGCGGTGATTCTAAAGGTCGACGGCACTCATCTGCATGTCATACTGACTGACAGTATTATTTCTCTTCCCCAGCAGACTCCAAGGGCATTTAAAATTAAAGGTACAGTGTTCTGCACTAATATAAAGGCTCTCTGAAGCCTAGAAACCCTTTTAATTAGTTAAATTCGCAGCGAATAAATTCGCATCGAATCGACTTTCTCCGCAAATTCGGCGAATCAGCCGAATCGAATTTTTGAATAATTCGCTCATCTCTAAATACAAACATAAACGCAGTGCAATACTAAAACATAAAATCACAGTGCAAACGAACCAAACCAACCACCCACAGATAACCGTACATACAATGCAAGCGTCGTCAGGCAGGCCGGGTCAATAACAATCGGGCAGGTAGGAACAGGGGGTCAGGCAGAGAATGGTCGGGGTCACAAACCAGGGATGAAACAGGAGAAGTCAGCAGAGGTCCGGAATCAGGCAGGGTCAGCAACGAATCAGACAGAGACAGGAACAGGAATGCAGGAACAAGATACAGGGCCCAGGAAAAACACACACCAAGGCAGAGACTGCAGGTCTGGCCATCACTTAAATACACCTGCATAAGCAGTTTCAGGTTTTGGCTGGCTGCAGGGTTGAGTCTCTGATTGCTGGGAGCACCCGCTGGCCAGCCTGGTACTGCAGCCCACAAGGCAGGTGAGTCCCACCATTACTGGCCAGTCCCATTCCTGACAGGTCTGCTCTGAGATTAGGAAGGAGAGGGAGAGGAAGAGGACAATCTAAAGGTCTGCTCTGAGGTTAGGAAGGAGAGGAGGAGGAGGACAATCCAAAGGTCTGCTCTGAGGTTAGGAAGGAGAGGAGGAGGAGGACAATACAAAGGTCTGCTCTGAGGTTAGGAAGGAGAGGAGGAGGAGGACAATACAAAGGTCTGCTCTGAGGTTAGGAAGGAGAGGAGGACAATCCAAAGGTCTGCTCTGAGGTTAGGAAGGAGAGGAGGAGGAGGACAATACAAAGGTCTGCTCTGAGGTTAGGAAGGAGAGGAGGACAATCCAAAGGTCTGCTCTGAGGTTAGGAAGGAGAGGAGGAGGAGGACAATACAAAGGTCTGCTCTGAGGTTAGGAAGGAGAGGAGGACAATCCAAAGGTCTGCTCTGAGGTTAGGAAGGAGAGGAGGAGGAGGACAATACAAAGGTCTGCTCTGAGGTTAGGAAGGAGAGGAGGAGGAGGACAATACAAAGGTCTGCGATCTGAGGTTAGGAAGAAGGAGAGTATAGATCTTTGAAAACCAGAAAAGGGAATTCCAAGAGAAAGAAACCAAAGAAATGAAGCAGTTACTTGTTTTGCAACATTTTATAACAGAAACTAAGAAAACATTATTTTAGTTTTATTTTAATGTTTGGTCTTTTATAGCATAAAAATAAAGTCCCAGAGAGGAATAAATCCCACCAAAAGAAAGTGCAATTTGTGTGAAAAATGATACAAATGTCATATAGTACAATGTTACATTCCTGAGTAATTGTCATTGGAAGTGTGAGAGCGCAGAAAGCTGAAAATTGTCCGGGGCTGAAAGGGGGGAAAGTACCCGGTACTGAGGGGGTTAAATGAAAATGACATTATGGCCACTAGATGGAGCCAATGATCATATGAAATAAGAACATGGCCAAAACTTGTCACAGCTGGGTAAAGGCTCCTCACATTCCTTCAAATGATGTTTTTTTTAAATAGACCTCCAAGTGTTTGTGAAATCTCCCACCACAAAATGTACTCATAGCTCAGGATTCCATTTTTATTCTTCTCCTGCCATCAATGGCCGACCCGGTCCCACACTTCATCCATGTCTTTGGGGGCCTCTGATCTCCTTATGAACTGTTTCTTCCATGATGAAGATCAGCCATGGAGTATATCTGAGGTGTATATCAGGGTGTGCTTCTTCCCCACATGAGAGCTGGGATGTCCAGCAACATTCATCTAGAAGACATTTCCCGCACTCAAGGCACTAATACACCTCCAGGGTTGTGTGGGACCCCTGATGTACAGGAAGACAGGACTCCAGTGAGGAATTTCACTCACTCAGGAAAGTGGCTTCTCCCCCATGTGAGATCTCTGATGTCTGGAAAGATTGCACTTCCATGAAAAACATTTCCCACACTCAGAACAGGAATACGGCTTCTCCCCTGTGTGAGATCTCTGATGTGTGTGAAGATGGGGCTTATTTGAAAAACATTTACCGCACTCAGGACAGGAAAAACGGCTTCTTCCCCTGTGTGAGATCTCTGATGTGTGTAAAG